CTGTGCTAGGTTGCTTCTCTGTATAGCAGTATAAGATTGTGTAATTAATTGAGTTAACCTCCTTAGAATCTGAAGGGGTAACTATACTTCAGCAATTCTAAATTCTCTAGGTTAAGAGAGTATACTAAAAAATATAGAGTATACTAAATATTGTCAAAAAATGACATCCTGAGTTTATATTACTCTAGATGGAGAGGAAGTAAGGGTAAACGATTTTTCCAAAATGCAGCCACTTTGGGTTGCTAAGAGTATGCTTTAAACATAGGTATTTCTGTTTATTTCCAATTGAGTTGGTATTTATTTCCATTTAAAGATTATTTTTGCATTTATTTAAAGATTTTTTTGCATTTATTTGAATATTTATTCATAAGGTACTTTAGTGATGTATGAGTATAGTTGTTCCTAACTGTAATTAATAGCCTCTGTGGGCTATACTGATAGAATTTGATTTCATAACATTTGAAAGGAACCAAGTGTAAAGGCAAAAATCAAACTTATCAATTTGCAACTACAGGCTTGCAGCAAGAATGGTTTTTAAAAATAACCAAATTTAGGAGTCAATATTTTTCTAGATGATTTTCTGTAAGGCAAGACAAAAGATAGTTCAGGTTGTTAGTGGTTTCTTTCCAGCAGGAAAAACTTTAGGAAATAATTATGAAGAAAATACTTTGTGAAGTCCCCATGTGAAGATCTTCAATTTTGTTTTCTTTTCATATCATAGTAAAATTGGACTAATTTAGTTTCCGTGTTGTATAGCTTATTTGCTGTAGCATTGATGATTGCTTTTATTTTACTTCACCTTTCATTTTCATTTTTAAAATATATAGGGTGATAAATGAAACATGCTTGTTTATGCTTACTGGGATGCTGAGAATGACTGAAAAGGTTGTGTGGCACACCTTAGTGTTTAATCATTTGTTTTTATTTTCGTCACAATGGTGATTCTTCTGAGAGTACTTGATAATTGGTTTTGTAACTTTTATTGTTAAAAGAATAGGAAATAGAAATATACAGATAAATTTGTTTATATTGTATGTATATATACACAAATGGTTGGCCACTTATGATTAAAGCATATCAAATATAGTATATCATTTATTTATGTTTTTCAAGATGCCAAAGTGTTCATAAAATTCAGATGTCTGCTATTTTAAGAAATTAAGTTTGTCTCATATACATGTCTTTCGCCATCCTCATCCTCTCCCTGTTTCTGATCTTAACAACTAAAAATTTTTAATTATAGCACTTTACATATTTGTCAATGTAGTTTACATAGAAATTTTTGTCAATGTAGTTTACATGGAAATTTGTACAGCATTACATGATTTTGATTTTATAATATGCTTCACATTAAGCTGAAGAATGATATAGCTCATGGAATTTGTTGTGGCATTATTGTAGCAAGTAAGTTAAGAATTTTTCCTTTTAATCATTTTGAACCGACATCCCATTTTCATTTAACTTAAAATATCATCAATAGTGAAACTATTATTTTATGTGCCAGAGAGAGAGAGAACCTCAAATAGGAAGTCCACAGATAAAGACTACAGATAAAGCTGGAGCACCGAAGGGCTATACTGTGCATGTGAAGCAAGAAGTATACCTACCACGTAAAAAAAGACAGGAAAGAAACTTGAATGTCTCGACTTTGGTTATTGGGAGAAGGGAGGGGAAAATCAGTTCTGAGGATTTGAATCACAAACCAATTCTCATAAGCTTGCAGCCAAGATTCCCACTAGTAGTGTGGTGTTAAAACAGACAAAAAGAATAGTGACTTACAAAATGTTGAAGGTCTCAGATTGATGGTGCTGCCAAGTGACTGGCATAAGTCAACACAAATCCTACGAAAGAATTCAACTTCAAAGACAGGGACTGTAAAATGTATCTCCATGTTATGTGTATCCTAGAATTAATGGAAAATGGGAATCATAACATTTCCATAAACAGGCTTTTCTGTGATGCTCAAGCCTCTGGGGAAACTATAAAATTTGTCAAATTCTTTTCAAACAAAGTATAGTATTTTGCATATTTATGGTTTTGTTCTTTGGCTTCATATTAATAACATCACAGTTTTGGTTTAAAATTATATTAACGCTCTATTTGCTTTCAGAATATTCAGTTGTACATAATTTAAGAATCTCACAGATAAGTTTGTCAGGTAAAACAAGCTTATTAACAAGTTGCCACTACCCAGAATTGACAGACATACTGAGGGAGAATGTCAATTTTTATTTGACGTTAAACCCCTTTTTATAGCCAATACCATGAATTCCAGTCTAAAGGAAAATTGAGATGTTTTAAAATTTGATGTATGGGAAGAAGGACAATTAAAGAGACAGCACTGTCAAATTCTGTTCTTTAATTTTGCTGTGAGTCTCATCAGCCTGATCTAGAAAATAGAAAACTCTTCTTATATGCAGGGCTTTTTGTGGCTTTGTTTTTTAAATGGGATTTGATCTTTTTTTTTTTTTTGTCGATATACATTGTGGTTGATTATTGTTGCCCCTTACCAAAACCTCCCTCCCTCCCTCCCTCTCCTCCCTCCCACCCAACAATGTCCTTTCTGTTTGCTTGTCGTATCAACCTCAAGTAATTGTAGTTGTTATATCTTCTTCCCCCCGCCCCCCCGGTTTTGT